TCTCCCAAACTTTATACCTCAAATCTCTTCCAGAATAATAAATAAACATTCTAGGAGGCTTCAAAAAGCTCTTATCTCTAGGAATACAATTGTTTATTGAGCATTCTCTAAAATAAATGAATTGACATTCTTTTCTGAGAATATTCTGATAAAAGTGAACTGAATTTGAATTCATTCAGATTAGGTTAGAGAGTTTTGTGTGTTTGTTTGTTTAGCAAAATTAATTTGCCAGTCTATGAATGAAGAGTAGAACATCAGAGCCAATTCAGAAGAGAATACTTGGTTCAGAGAACTGAGTGAAAACTGATCTAAATCAAATAAAGCAGGCAAATTTAGAAGCAACGGTTACTACAGGTCAGGACCAGATTCCTCCAGATGAGTTACATAGCACTAGCAGAGAATAAGGCAGGTGAAAACCTTATTTTTTGTTTTTTTTTGAGACAGAGTCTCACTCTGTTGCCCGGGCTAGAGTGCCGTGGCATCAGCCTAGCTCACAGCAACCTCAAACTCCAGGGCTGAAGCAATCCTTCTGCCTCAGCCTCCCGAGCAGCTGGAACTACAGGTGTGCGCCACCATGCCCGGCTAATTTTTTCTATATATTTTTAGTTGTCCAGCTAATTTCTTTCTGTTTTCAGTAGAGGCGGGGTCTCGCTCTTGCTCAGGATGGTCTCAAACTCCAGACCTCTAGCGATCCTCCCACCTCGGCCTCCCAGAGTGCTAGGATTACAGGTGTGAGCCACTGTGCCCAGCTGAAAACCATATTTTTTGAAAGGGCTGTGAGAAAGCTGTCATTGACAGGCACAGTTAGTCTCTCTTGCTGACAAAAAAGCCAGCACACCTGGGGTGGAGGAGATGGAGAGTAACCGTTTAATGGGCATGGGGTTTCCTATGAGAGTTATGAAATATCTGGAAACTAGATAGAGGTGGTGGCTGCACAATGTTGTGAATGTACTAAATGCCACTGAATTTTTCCTCTTCAAAATGATTAATTTTATGTTATGTGAATTTTACCTCACTTAAAAAAAAAGCTAGCATACCAGATTCCAACCCTTTCTTTACTTACAAGAGAAGGAAGCTCCTATTACAGTGACTAGCAAGATGCCAGGATTTGGAAGCTCCTGCGGTTAATGAGACGCTCACTGTATGAAGAAATATGTAACAACAAATTCCCACATTTTCTTACACAGCAATAGAAGAATAGGGTTAGGACTGCAGGATCTGAAGTATCTGATGTCTCCTCATTTCTATTCGAGTAGCCTCATTCTTAATCCTAGATAGTCAGACTTTTGCATTAAGCTCAGAAGGAATATCAGTAATCATGCATGTGAAGTAATACCACCTCTACGTTCTATTAATACAACAAATGCAGGACTGACATACAACAGAGTATCTCAGAAGGTATAAAAATGCCATCTGGAAACAAGCAGCATGTCAATGCGGCACCAGAAGGCAGCCAATGCTGCCCGAGAGCCAAGTACACATAAATATCCCTACAAAAGGTAGCAGTTGGGGCAGACAAATACCAAGAGACTGAGGTAAGGTGCTTCCGCTCCAACTAGTGCATTGTCAGAGAAGTCTCATTAATACAGGCATTATGTGTTTGGTTGCCAAGGGCAGAAGTCTAAAGAAAAGAACGATTTGTATCCTGGCTAAAAGCTTCTAATGGATCTTTAAAGCTAAAGTTAGGACAGCAGAATTTAACTGTCCATTTGTGATTCAGATTTTGGGAATTTACAGAAATAATCTGGAAATCTTACCCCCACTTACACTGTTAAAAATATAAACTCATGGAAAAGAAGCTGGTAGAACAACTCTAGGTATACTCACCAAATGAGGAAGGCTCTAGTAGTACAGCAAGCCCCTCCCCACCAAATACACTAAAAAAGTTTTCCTAAGATGACAGAAATCAGAATACATAGCAAAGTATTTAAAAAAACAAATAAGAAGAAATGAAGTCGATATTGACTGCATACCCTCCTTCCCTGTTCTTCAGTGCGGTAGGCATGTCTGTATAAACAAGAGAATACAGCTCCGGGAGGCATAAGTTCACTGGTCTCATTCCAACCGTGGGTATGGCAAAGACGAGAGGCATCTCCCTGGCACTTGCGGTATAAGACAGGGTCCAGCCTACAAAAGTTAAAAGATAACCATTCTACATTTCCTTCTAACACATGCTAAGGGTTTTTACCAGGTGCTTGCTTATATGCTTATTGATAATCACCTCCAGGGTAGTGGAGACTAAAGATATGCAAAAGTATATTCCTGAATTTTGTTCTTAATGAACACACTGTGGTCAATCTGTAGAAATTTGTTAACTTTCATCAAGACTTAAGTTCTATCTCCGAGTTGTTATCTTGGCTATGTAAGGTACGTAACATTACAATAACAGACTCAGCCCTCACATTCCTTGGCTGAACGTAGAAAACTAGGGTTGTAGCCACCACCAGGCAAATTACAACTTTCTACTTAATACTTTTTTTTTTTTGTCCAACAAAAGCAGGTTGACTTTATTGCAGGGGAGCTAGGAAGGAACAGGACAAGTGAGGATCTCCGCAGAATACCTACCACTGAGGACTGCCAAGCCCCAGGTCTGTCTGGAAGCCAGGAGAGGATCAGCATCCTGTCCCCTTTGGTCTACCCTGCTGACGGGTGGGCCCAGGTCCTTACCTCACTTTAACAGAACACTTAATGCTCTTTTTATTAAATACATTTTTCTAAATATGAATGAAGTTCAATCCTGATATATAAGATTCAGCAAGATCAGGAATGGCAAGATAAACAGAATCTCCTACTCAACCTTTTCTCTTCTTCCCATGAAAGGTAAGGCAGTTGTTTTTTTGGTTTACCTGAATATGCTTATCAATTTATAAAACTTGACATTTAACTTTTAATCTGGGTTCAGTCTTGTGCAGTGTAATAGTAAGAACGAATAAAAAAAAAAATAAGAAGAACTTTTAATCTGGGAACAGTGGGTTAAACAACGAACCTGATTCTTCTCCAAATCAGATTAGGGGATGCTTAATTTTGTCTGTATTATGCTGTCAAGTTTGGGGGAGGGCTATTTAATGGGAAGAGACAGGCTAATATTTAATGAGTAGCCATTAAGACTATGCAGCACTTTTTTGATTAAGGTGGAAGGAATTAAAAAAGAAGAGAAAACATGATTTTGATTAAGGTAGTACACTCAGTAAATGCTTTATTTCAGTTTAGATGGCCTGAGTAAGCACAGGGAAATTATTGCCCAGCTCTCTCTAGTCCTGTCCATAACAAACTTGAAGAAACAGAAATAAAAATACATTGAATCTTCAAGTAAACCACGTGGGCCAAACATATATTAATCACCAGAATAAGTTAATGACCACAGGACAGTGGCTTAACAACTGAAGAAGGAAGCAGCTGAACTTGGGAAGCTGGAAGAGCAGGGAGATCCAGTTCTGGCTGCTTTGGAGGTGGGGAGGAGGAAGACAAGACAAAGAGAGAGGAGGGGAACTGAGGCCATAAACTCCAGAGATTCTGACTGTAATATACATCCTTCTCCTATTTCGTCCTCCACCCATTTTTGTTAACAGGATAAGAAGAAAATCAGAGAATCAGGTTGTCACTTATTGATAAAAACCTCTTTAGACAGAATAAACTCAATAACTCTGAATAGGAAAAGAAATAAAAGCAAATTCCCACACCCAGTGCAAATCAATAAAAATACAAATGCACTGTTATCTTCTTAGAGACGTATCTGAAGATGCTTTTGCTGCCCCTCCAGGTGCCAGAGTTCTTTCTAGATAGATGTTTGTGGTACATTTTGACCCTGACTTCCAAAGTAGTGGCAAACAGGGATGCTTGGTACAGAGTGGTAGTGAGCTGACTCTGCTTTTGGATACTGTTCTGAAAGCAACAATGAGTGGGATTTTTAGGGAAGCGGAGCATGTTACCCAGAACTTAACAAAAATAATTTCCTACTGATTATTTCAAAATATACATGTATTACTGACTACACGGGAGAACAGGCTGAGGCAATACACTTACTTTGGCTTCAAAATACTCACTTCCAATCTCGGGAGATGAAATACTGTAGCTCTAAGAGACGATGTTCACAATCTTCCACCATTTTCTCTGTATACAAATGTTCCATAAGGCACGAGAGGATCCTAGCCATAAAACGGGTGAAATTGTAACGAGAGAGAAGTGTCTTAATGAGAGGTTCAGAACTTTATGTCTATATAATGTTTTCTTGGTTTGAGGAAAAAGCCCTTTAGCAATTTTCATAGGAGAATACGATTTATTTTTCTGAGAATCACTCGAATTAATTGAACCTGACAGTTATCATGCCTTCTATCAACTTCAGAGCCACTTAACACTTAGGACTAAGGTGTACAAGTTCCATGTT